GGTAATTTGATATCAAAGATCCTTTGTTGTTGTTAGACATTTCGTTCTTGACACCGAGACGTTCATGCCAGTCCGTACCTCCCAATCCATCTGTCACATGAACCTCGTCCAATCTTTGCGTTAATTAGTTTTATGACGACATCACTGTTGTTGCAAAAAGCTCTCACTTCTTCGTCGTTATTTGCTGTTGGAGCATACACTTGACTCTATGAAGCGAGCTTCACTGATTCCCGTTATTCTGATGTTCAGTCTATTCATTTCTAGGATTACGTTGCGAGCTTTTTCTGGGTTTGTACATACTTTGAACATTCTATGTTCCAACTCTTATTGATTTCTGTAACAACACGAAAACATTTCTTTTGTTAACGTTGCAATATATTTTATTATTACGTTATCAGGAAACGGACAGAAATTAAATACAGTTTCTATAGTGGTTACAACTACATCTAGTTGTTGATTCCAGTATCTAATTGATGATTTCAGTATTCTATGGGTGGATACAATATGCATGGTGATTCATTTCAGTATCTAGAAGTTAAATACAGTTTCCATAGTGATTAGAACCAAATCTGCTTGTTAATTTCAGTATCCAGTGGATGATTCCAGTATGTAGTGGTTGATTCCAGTATCTAGTGGATCATTCTAATATCAAGTGAAAGATTCCAGTTTCTGGCTTTTTGCATGTAGCATCCGTAATGATTAGTTTTAGTATGTAAATGCTATGACTTTTGGGTTGGGATCATTTTGGGTTGGGTTGATTTTGGCTTAGGTTGCAAATGCAGTTTACATAATGGCTACAACTACATCTAGTTGTTGATTCCAGTATCTAATTGATGATTTCAGTATCCTACTGGTAGATACAAAATTCATGGTGTTTCGTTTGAGTACCTAGAAGTTAAATACAGTTTCCATAGTGATTAGAACCAAATCTACTTGTTAATTCCAGTATCCAGCGGATGATTCTAGTATATAGTGGTTGATTCTTTGAAAATTTTTTACTTCATAAATTTACTCATATTCAGAATTTATTATCTCAAGAAAGAATTGAGATATTCAAGTGCGGTTTTGTTCACTAAAAAGTACGTACTTTCCTCTATAAGATCAGTATGTTTCATGTAAATATCTTAAGAATTCGATTTTTTACGATTTTTTTAAATAATGTGAAAATTTTTTTTACTACATAATTGAGGTTGAGTTCAAAAACTATTATCTCAAGATCGAGTTGAGATATTCAAGTGCGGTTTTGTTCACAAAAAAGTACGTACTTTCCTCTATAAGATCAGAATGTTTCATGTAAATATCTTAAGAATTCGATTTTTTACGATTTTTTTAAATAATGTGAAAATTTTTTTTTACTACATAATTGAGGTTGAGTTCAAAAACTATTATCTCAAGATCGAGTTGAGATATTCAACTGCGGTTTTGATCGTGAAAAAGTACGTAATTTCTTCTATATAGTGAGAATGTTTCATGAAAATATCTTAAGAATCCGATTTTTTGCAATTTTTTAGACGATTGTAAAAAATATTTTACTTCATAAAGATACTCAAATTCAGAATTTATTATTTCAAGAACGAATTGAGATATTCAAGTGCGGTTTTGTTCACGAAAATGTACGTACTTTCCTCTATAAGATGGGAATGTTTCATATAGATATCTTAAGAATTCGATTTTTTACGATTTTTTTTTAAATAATGTGAAAATTTTTTTTGCTACATAATTGAGGTTGAGTTCAAAAACTATTATCTCAAGATCGAGTTGAGATATTCAACTGCGGTTTTGATCGTGAAAAAGTACGTAATTTCTTCTATATAGTGAGAATGTTTCATGAAAATATCTTAAGAATCCGATTTTTTGCAATTTTTTAAAGATGATTGTAAAAAATTTTTTACTTCATAAAGATACTCAAATTCAGAATTTATTATCTCAAGAATGAATTGAGATATTCAAGTGCGGTTTTGTCCACGAAAATATACGTACTTTCCTCTATAAGATGGAAATGTTTCATGTAGATATCTTAAAAATTTGATTTTTTACGATTTTTTTAAAAATAATGTGAAAATTTTTTTTACTATATAATTGAGGTTGAGTTCAAAAACTATGATCTCAAGATCGAGTTGAGATATTCAACCACGGTTTTGATCGTGAAAAAGTACGTACTTTCTTCTATATAGTGAGAATGTTTCATGAAGATATCTTAAGAATCCGATTTTTTGCAATTTTTTAAAGACGATTGTAAAAAATTTTTTACTTCATAAAGACACTCAAATGCAGAATTTATTATCTCAAGAACGAATTGAGATATTCAAGTGCGATTTCGTTCACGAAAAAGTAGGTACTTTCCTCTATAAGATCAGAATGTTTCATGTAAATATCTTAAGAATTCGATTTTTTACGATTTTTTTAAATAATGTGAAATTTTTTTTTACTACATAATTGAGGTTGAGTTCAAAAACTATTATCTCTAGATCGAGTTGAGATATTCAACTGCGGTTTTGATCGTAAAAAAGTACGTAATTTCTTCTATATAGTGAGAATGTTTCATGAAGATATCTTAAGAATCCGATTTTTTGTGATTTTTTAAAGACGATTGTAAAAATTTTTTACTTCATAAATTTACTCATATTCAGAATTTATTATCTCAAGAAAGAATTGAGATATTCAAGTGCGGTTTTGTTCACGAAAAAGTACGTACTTTCCTCTATAAGATCAGAATGTTTCATGTAAATTTCTTAAGAATTCGATTTTTTTAAATAATGTGAAAATTTTTTTTACTACATAATTGAGGTTGAGTTCAAAAACTATTATCTCAAGATCGAGTTGAGATATTCAACTGCGGTTTTGACCGTGAAAAAGTACGTACTTTCTTCTATATAGTAAGAATGTTTCATGAAGATATCTTAAGAATCCGATTTTTTGCGATTTTTTAAAGACGATTGTAAAAAATTTTTTGCTTCATAAAGATACTCAAATTCAGAATTTATTATCTCAAGAATGAATTGAGATATTCAAGTGAGGTTTTGTTCACGAAAAAGTAGGTACTTTCCTCTATAAGATCAGAATGTTTCATGTAAATATCTTAAGAATTTGATTTTTCACGATTTTTTTAAATAATGTGAAATTTTTTTTACTACATAATTAAGGTTGAGTTCAAAAACTATTATCTCAAGATGGAGTTGAGATATTCAACTACGGTTTTGATCGTGAAAATGGACGTACTTTCTTCTATATAGTGAGAATGTTTCATGAAGATATCTTAAGAATCCGATTTTTTGCAATTTTTTAAAGACGTATTCATAAAGATACTCAAATTCAGGATTTATTATCTCAAGAACGAATTGAGATATTCAAGTGCGGTTTTGTTCACGAAAATGTATGTACTGTCCTCTATAATATGGGAATGTTTCATATAGATATCTTAAGAATTCGATTTTTTACATTTGGGTTTAGCCGTCTTTGGAAACGTGCGGATAAACCCAAATGATTCTAGTTCTAGTTATAGTGTTAGTTCTACATAGTAACAGTGCTAGTGTAAAACTAGATATAAAGTATAGAACGCAACAGTGTGAATAGCCGAATTTGTGTTAATTTGTGACTTTTGGCTATAACAGAGACTCCCTTCCCCGTATTAGTCCATTATATCGAGGTTTTGCTGTATTAAATCCTATTTTTTTTATTTTAATGTATAAAAAAGTGAAACATGGTGACGGTGCGAATATTACGATTCAACAATGAGCGATTGAACAAAATCTGATAAAAATCACGGCTGGTGTGGAGTGTCAAAGTCCCACAGGTTCCGGAACACGCAAACTCCGATCAGATTATGTAATTACGGTGCACCTATTAATCCACGACCGTGGTGTACGTTGTTGGGTACCTTTTGTAGTATAGCACCTTATCGCAAAATCCGACAAAATCGAGAATCAAGAAATATGACTTGTGAAAAATGAAAAATGAGTTTCACAATCTAACCCGTTTTGTGCGTTCCAACGTGTTGATAGGTGATAAATTAAGAAATCTTTTTATCATAATTAGGTCAAAGAATTAAAAAAGAAATAATTAAATATTTCGGATTAGTAAGATTAGTTTAAAATTCCTCACGATTTCATAATGCTTCGGCATTTATCTTGTATTAACCTATCGTTTTACGATCGGTTAACTACCAGGATTATTCCCAAGTTTATAGCGCAATTAAGTATTAGTAGTTTCCTTTTTACGTAAGAAAGGCAGCATTTCTACACCTAATCCAATACCAATGTTAATTTGTTTTTAATCCTCTATTTATTTATATTTTTCATTAAAATTTTCCATTAAGTAAATAATTAATAACACACAACTGGGTCTACTAACACTAAATTAACTTCTGATTGGCGTTGCAACAGTGCGAATATATCTGGACAGTAAATAACCGCTTAACGTCCGAGGATGTCTGCCATATGTTTGTTCGCACGGCACGAAAGAGAGATAGAAAAGAATGGAAAAAGTGCACAACGCTAATTATTGTGCCGTGAGGTCCGTTAGCTCGATTAAAATCTGAACCTGAAAAAAAATCCTGTGATAGAAAGAACCGATATGGTGTAAATACATTATTGTGTATACACGATATCTATCGTATTTATCAAAATATATTTGTTACCACGTTGAATATTAAGAAATTAAGATAATAAAAAAATTTTTATTACATATCTCGTTTTAATCTAAACCTATATAACATAAAAATTGGTTCACAAATTTGCCAAATTACCTTTTCGTTGATATTATTATTTAGGCATTTCCTGTCGGGGGCACTGAGCGAAACGGCCGCACAGACCGATAATTTTATAAATTTCACATCCTCTTTATGTGACATTTGTCACAGTACACGTCTCTTAAAATTATTGTTATTACCGAACCTGATAATGCCGAGCTGCGGGGTTCGCAAATTAACTTTTTCAAGGATTTCTTCATCGGGGTGACATCTGTCTCTTAAGACCTAAAGCTAAAATTCATTTTTCTCTTTGTTACAGATAAAAACGTAAAAACCGAGATCTTGGAGCGAAAAAAAAATTTATAGTAAGTATATTGACGAATTATTTTCATTAATCTCTCTTTGCCGGTCACAAAGGGGTTGTAAATTTCAAACAAAACAAGTCAAATCACATTGTTTAGAAATGACGAACCGCAGGAGGTCCTCGTATATTACGATCATGACTAAAACGTCCAAAATAAACGCGTTCGTGTTTCGTCTGTGATGGTGTCGAATACTAAACTGACTGATTGTAACACCTCTTCATTTATCTAAATCCGCACAGCAATTGCTCTCACTCACCCCCTTAGTAATCGCGACTACGGCTCCGACTCCACCATATGGCATCATTTTTAAATATACTAAGCACTACCCTCAATTCTTGCACCTGGGCTTTATAACCCCACATAAAAATGGGGAAGTAATACGATAACGATTGATCTCTAATTGGGCAGTTATACTAAAGTCCATATTACGTAATTGACGTAATTGTGTGGTTATAATAGGCTAATAGGGAAATTGATGATAACAACGAGAAAACTCCTTCTCGGAAAACTTTAGAAATTTAATATTAATGGGTACAATGTTGTAATCTAACGATCCTCCATAAATTAAGCTAGTAACATTGGGTGTTATCGGGAAAGGAAGGAGGAACGCTTAATAAATCCATGTTGGATGGCCATTGTCGGGATTCGGGTTGGAGACGATGGCCAGCGCGGTTACGTGAGGACACCTAATTGACAAGCGTCATTTCCGGGTGGAAGTAGCTACGCGCTGGTCCTCAATTTCCGGCCGGCCCTTCCCCAATTATGACGACCGTAATCGCAGGAAATTATCAAATGTGCACACCACCAGAACGCGCATCCTCCTTATCTCAATGTCCTAATTCATGGCTCCATACTATCTCTTATCTATATGATTTGATTCCGATATTAAATTTATGTTTGAAAATTCAGTTTAATTAATTTAAAAAAAATTAAAAAATCATAATGGTGGAGGAGCCGGGAAAATAAAATTTATTTATAAAATTATTGCAACCATCATAATCAATAATATTTGTAATATAATACTTGCTTGAAAGATAATACATTTTGCAAATGATTGGAAATAAAAAAACTTATCTAACTTATCTACAAGAAAAAAGATTACCTTTAAATGCTTCTATACAGGGTGATTCTCAACCTAATACAGGGAAGTTATGGATATGGTACTAGTGTAGCAAAAATCTGTGCTTGTAGCTCATCTCTATGCAGAAAAGTTTTAAAATAAATATCATCCAGCACATGAATCCTTTTTACGTGTGGTGCAACGTGGTAAGCAAAATGGCAATATTGGACTGAGGCTTGGGCAACAAGAAGCAGTTAGACCTGTACATATAATCAATTTTAAGAAAGTTTTAAATCTTGTCGAAGAGCAGCTTGGCATAAACACTAGGATACTTGCAGAGCAGATCCACAATTTGGCTTATATTGATGACAACGCGTACAAGCCCAACTAACAGTGAATTATCTCCCTCGAGTAAAATTTTGCGAGTGATTACATCACCATCAGTTGAACCCAAATTGTACCAATATTGTTCTCCAAGTCATATCGATAATGTATTAGGTCAAGGGAGTCCAATGGTCTGCCCAGCTCGATCGCCCGACCTCAAACCTCATCATTTTTATCTTTGGGGTCACTTAAAAAGCATAGTGTAAGCCACCGAAGTTATTACTGAGAATTGCGAAGTCGGATACATCTTAGTGTATCCGCAATTGTGTACAGAAAATATGGGAAATAACTTCGAACACTTGCTGTGATTTTAAAATGTTCTATGTATTCTTGATTTGAAAGTAAATTTCATCTAGAAAACTAAAAACTTTTATTACAATTTTTTTCACCTAATAGTCATTATTGTAGTTATCGTGTAGGTTAAGAATCACCCTGTATATAAAGTGTATAGATTTTCTGAAATGGTTTACAGATTTTGATCACTTTTGAATTCGCGTTGTTAAAGTAAGCAGAGTTTATAATTATCTATAAATACGCTGTTGGCGAAAAGGTGTTTAAATCATATTGTCTCAGACTTCAACTCTGAGTTGTTGCCTCTATGTAGCTACTATAAAATAATGAAACACAATCACTGTCATTGAAATAATTACTTGAATAACGACGTGTATACACAATGACAACGCACTTCTATTCACAATATTCTTATTTCTAGTATTTGTATTGCGCAAATCTTTTTGAACTGGACTTTTTGCTTTAAATAATAAGGCTACCTAGTCGTGATAATCCCGAACCTTGTAAGTTATAATGATTGTGCATATTTAAATAATTTCTAGATTACATGGTGATAACCTTAAATTTATTTAGGACAGAAAGTATAGATATAGGTGACAACCCTTTGAAATAAATATAGATTTTTGATAACAGCATGACTACAGCGTAGGAAAAAGATTTATGTGATGTGTGATATTTATTTACATAAATATATTCACTGCTGTAATCCATTTCTGATGAGGTTAGTCTTTATTGGGTTTATAAAACAATATCTTTGTGGCTAATGTGCTTCTGATTACATATGGTAGATACAGAAAGAAAGCAAATCAACAATATAGAAGGAATATAGGGACAGGCAAAGGTATACAAATAGCATACGAAGTATGAAAGTACATAGTAATGAATGTGCCATGATTAAGGTAAATGCATATGAATGGCAAAATTGAATGTATCACTGCAAGTAGTATTTCTGTTGATATTTGGATGGTCGGAAAGTTAGACAATCATTTGTGTCAATATGCGGCTTTCCTTTAAATTACCCTGAACATCTTCAAATATCAAAAATGGAAATGTGCAACGGATGAGCTAGTTGCAAAGGTTTTCTTGATAAAGTTATCTTAATTTAAACTTAGTTTGTTTAAAAAGTATAATCTTAGACCACCAGTATGGCTTCAAAGAACCCCTCTCAACTATCGATCAGATTGGCAGACTTAGATATGATGTAGCTGAAGCTTTTGATAGAGTGTGATATGAAAAATTTCGCAAAAAATTAAACAAACTCTTACGTAACTAGTTTTCACAATTAGTGAAGTCTCAGATCAAGTTTCAGAGTTAAGCAGGACATCGGTTACTCTGAACTTAAAGCAATTAACACAGTAATACCAGAAAACAGTGTACCAGGGCAGTCCTTTATCTACTATATACCAGTGATATTCCTGAATTAGATCATGATAGCCACCTATAATATATCAATATTGAGGTTGCCACATAAAATTCCCCCGCTAACATAGAATTACAATGTAATTAACATATGATTAATATGCAAATAAGTACATTAAGTGACATCTTTTTTGATATAATAGATAATAAAATTAAATCAAAATACAAAAAAGCTGAAACTAGAAACATTCGAGTATAACAGTGTGTCTCTTAAGACGTCTAAACCTGAATCTTTCTAGTTCTAGATCTAGTGTCAGTTTTAGTTTTAGTTCAATCAAAAATATACAAAAATCTAAACCTGAATAACAACTTAAACAAGAACAAAAACAAGCATTGGAACGAACACTACACCTAGAACTAGAAACATTCGGGTTTAGCCGTGCGTCTCTTAAGACGGCTAAACCCGAATGTTTCTAGTTCTAGCTTTAGTGTTAGTTCTAGTAACGGTGTTAGTGTTAAACTAGCCCTAACACTACTTAGAACTAGAAACATTCGGGAATTTCGAAAATTCAATTTTCTCATTTTGGGAATTTATGCTATATCACTAGAAACTGGTAACAGATAAATATGAAATAATTCTGGATTATGATTTCTTGACGCATTAGGAATATTTTTTATTCATAACGTCTTTCTGCATCAGGTTTAGTACTTACGTTATAGTTACATAATTTTATTTAAAAAAATCATCCAATATTGACATTTGCAAGTTATGCTATATCACTAGAATCTGGTGATAGATAAATATGAAATAAGTATGAATTATGATTTCTAGATGCATTAGGAATATTTATTTATAACATCTTTCTCCATCAGTTTTAGTACTTCCGATATAATTAATTTTATTAAGAAAAATCGTCCAATTTAGACATTTTGTGGTTTATGTTATATCACTAGAAAATGGTGATAGATAAATATGGAAAAAGTATGGATTACGATTTCGTGTTGCATTAGGAATATTTTTTGTTCATAACATTCCTNAAGCATTGGAACGAACACTACACCTAGAACTAGAAACATTCGGGTTTAGCCGTGCGTCTCTTAAGACGGCTAAACCCGAATGTTTCTAGTTCTAGTGTTAGTTCTAGTAACGGTGTTAGTGTTAAACTAGCCCTAAGACTAGACCTAGAACTAGAAACATTCGGGGATTTCGAAAATTCAATTTTCTCATTTTGGGGATTTATGCTATATCACTAGAAACTGGTAACAGATAAATATGAAATAATTCTGGATAATGATTTCTTGACGCATTAGGAATATTTTTTATTAATAACGTCTTTCTGCATCAGTTTTAGTACTTACGTTATAGTTACATAATTTTATGTAAAAAAATTGTCCAATTTTGACATTTGCAAGTTATGCTATATCACTAGAAACTGCTGATAGATAAATATGAAATAAGTATGAATTATAATTTCTAGATGCATTAGGAATATTTTTTATTTATAACATCTTTCTCCATCAGTTTTAGTACTTCCGTTATAATTAATTTTATTAAGAAAAATCGTCCAATTTAGACATTTTGTGGTTTATGTTATATCACTACAAAATGGTGATAGATAAATATGAAATACGTATGGATTACGATTTCCTGCTGCATTAGGAATATTTTTTGTTCATAACCCTTTTCTCCATAAGTTTTAGTAATTACAATTTACTTTATTAAGAAAAATCGTCCAATTTAGACATTTTGTGGTTTATGTTATATCACTAGAAAATGGTGATAGATAAATATGAAAAAAGTATGGATTACGATTTCCTGTTGCATTAGGAATATTTTTTGTTCATAACTCTTTTCTCCATCAGTTTTAGTAATTACGTTACACTTGACTTTATTAAGCAAAATCGT